TAACGCCATTCAGAGAAGAGTAGAGATATAATAATTTGTTTGTTTATCGAAGTAGGTGCATAATAATAAAAGATTGGTGGGATGTGCAATCATAATTCCTCTTAGCGTCGAAGCATCGTCACCGCCTCTAATATCGCTTCCACCACTATTTAGCGCCATCTTCATCACCGGATAATCGATAGAAACGTCTTTGCAATATAAAAAAAAAACGTAGTGCTAGCAATATTTCAGATTGGGCAAAATCAACTCCAATATGTTCGAATTATTCATATAAAAAATAATTTGTCCGCGAGATTTTTTTCATTGAAAATTGGATATAAAAATCTTAAAACTGTTAATAAAATAATAAAGAAACACAAATATAAATTTATACGTATGGTGCTCCGATATTTTTGTTTGTCAATTAAATTTAATTTTGTACAATGGATAAGAATCCCTGCTGTAGGTATTTATTACAAAGTTTGCAATTTTTCGTGTCTATTATTCAATCTTCAATTATAATCGGAAGTAAACTTATATAGCATTCATTAAATCTTGCAAGAATTCGATATTATCTCTCAAGAAGTATCGTATTCAGTTTCTTGCAACTTTTCTTCTTCGTAATCCAATAAGTCTTCTAGCCGATTGTTATCTACAGTTTTCCTTTATTCTTCCAATAATTTTTTTGTTATATATATATATATATATATATATATATATATATATATGTTATTAACGCCATTCAGAGAAGAGTAGAGATATAATAATTTGTTGTTTATCGAAGTAGGTGCATAATAATAAAAGATTGGTGGGATGTGCAATCATAATTCCTCTTAGCGTCGAAGCATCGTCACCGCCTCTAATATCGCTTCCACCACTATTTAGCGCCATCTTCATCACCGGATAATCGATAGAAACGTCTTTGCAATATAAAAAAAAAACGTGTGCTAGCAATATTTCAGATTGGGCAAAATCAACTCCAATATGTTCGAATTATTCATATAAAAAATAATTTGTCCGCGAGATTTTTTTCATTGAAAATTGGATATAAAAATCTTAAAACTGTTAATAAAATAATAAAGAAACACAAATATAAATTTATACGTATGGTGCTCCGATATTTTTGTTTGTCAATTAAATTTAATTTTGTACAATGGATAAGAATCCCTGCTGTAGGTATTTATTACAAAGTTTGCAATTTTTCGTGTCTATTATTCAATCTTCAATTATAATCGGAAGTAAACTTATATAGCATTCATTAAATCTTGCAAGAATTCGATATTATCTCTCAAGAAGTATCGTATTCAGTTTCTTGCAACTTTTCTTCTTCGTAATCCAATAAGTCTTCTAGCCGATTGTTATCTACAGTTTTCCTTTATTCTTCCAATAATTGCCACCTAATCGGTTTAATTAACAAGAAAAAAAGGGACATGAAGTGCAATATATCTCTCTGGACTTTACACGAAGGAAAATGTTTTATAGGATTTTCGTTCCTTGATTGATATTAATCGAAATTCGATATTTCGAAATAAATTTAATATATACGGGAAACGTATCCACTATACTCCCGCATTATTTGACGCAGATACTTTCCACAAATCCTACGACAAACAACATAACACGTTCAATAATTCATAAATAATTTCGCGTCTGAGAGAACCACGCATAATGTTTCCACCATTGGAATTTCAGATCAGGCACGAGAAAGTGCAACACGATTCATGATTCCAAGCTGATCTTGAAAATATCAATCTCAAATATTTTAATATTTTTATCACATAAACTAAACTCGATACTAATCTCGAGTTAAAATTTCGTTTCAACAAACATTGAATTGATTCCATTAAGAATCGAAAAGTTTAAATTTATATATGCAATAATTTATGCATATCGTTTTAGAAAGGAACAATACGTGAACAATTAAAATACAAAAAATCCGTGAAATTTTTCATTATAATTGCAATGAAAATTGAAAATTAAAGCTCGTAAGTGTAAGTTAATTATTTATTATTTAATTTTTTCAAATTTTATGAAAAAGAAGAAGAAGTAAATTTTCAATAAAAAAAGAAAAATTCCTCCTCCTCGTGAAATTGAAATTAAATTGCCTCGAAAAAATTTTTAACGATTTAAATAAGTTATGTAAGAATGTAATTTAATATTGTAGAATAGAATGAAGTAATTGGATAATATGAAATTTTATTAACAATTTACTCCTTTAATTGTGATATAGAATATGATATTTTTTTTTAAAAATTGAATATCACGAAATATATGAAATATATTGAAAAATTTTCAACAAAGGTTAGAAATTTCCAACAAAATATCTCAATATTGCATGTTATACAACATTTCGTTTTTATTTTATTTTATAAAATTTTTTTCAGTTCTCGTATCAAAAAAAAAAAATGGAGAAATTACTGTGGTGACACATGTTGCAAATTTTCTGCACGACATATTTCTTTTATACACCAATATATATCAAAAATAATTATTAAAAGTATAAATTACTAACATAAATTCAATCCAGATTAATTATATCAATCATTATTTTATACATATTCGTCATTTGACCGAATAATACTTAGATTCCTTGTCTTTTTAAGTTGTTGAATTTATGTAGTAATCCAAATCTAAAATCTACATAGAAATTTAAACGAAATTTCCTTAATTGAAGGTGAATTATAGATAATCGAAGTGCTAAATAGCAATATAAAACACTTTCGTCTTTATTAAACTTTACAAGATTCGCACATAATATACAATGGACATTTCGCAAAAACACAGTATCCATACTCAAATACATTTTTATCTATATTAATAACGAACAACTCTCGACAGATCGGATATCAAAGAGCATTTCAACCGGAATAATTCAACCACGGGAAATATAACGATAAAAACTCGATTATTCTCTCGATTCACTACATCTCTCGTGTTGTATCGCGTTGTTTCGAGGGTTGTGTATCGACGAGATTCCATATTTAATCGGGTTGCAACTCGAATCCTGGTTATTCCTGGCCCACGTTACACGTTACACGGCCAGACCACTTGAGCAGCCTCTGTTCCACTGATTGCACAATTACGGCCGGCCGATTATTTGCTTTGCCGCAGCGTGTCACCGCCGTGTCACGGGCATCGCATTTTCCGCTGGACAGGCAGTCTGCGACCACGGCGGACTTTTAATTATTCAATTAGCGTCTCTCGCAACTCCTCGCTGATGTCTTGCTTAATTGTAAATGCGACTGTGCCGCGTTGTTCATCGCCAAATGAACCACGGCTTCGTGTTAAACGCCATTCCTTCTCCTCGCCATTAATCGTCGCTTGCCAACGAAATTGTGAATCGAATAACGGGATTGAGATAAGGTGTGTAAGGTGTTATTGAGGCGAGATGGCGGTAGATGAAATTTCTCGTTTTGGAACTTAAGCCGGGTGTGTCTCCCTTCCGAAGTGGTTCATAAACTAACCCGTGAGACGGTTGGGTCCGCGAGCAGCCGCATTAGACGACAGGAGGGAGAAAGATGTTGGGGTGAATGATGCGTCTTAATGCAGCGGCTCTGTGTACCGAGTTGTTAAGACGTCGAAATTGATTGTGTGTTTTATGGATGGGGGGAGTTATTGGTGGATAATTTGAGATTAGTATTGCACAGTACAGTGGAAAATGGTTAAGGATAGAAAGAAGGGTGGTGAAGTTTGATCTCGAAATTGAAACGCAAAATTGAAATGAATTATAAAATCTTATTGAATGTTGAAACTTTTGAGATTAAGAAAATTGAGATTCTCGAAAATTAGTTTTTAAACGTAGAATATTTTGATTTCGTATTGAGTGTGTATTATTTATTGCAATGTTTTAAAATTTATATCGTACTGATTGTATATTCATTCGAAAGACTTTGAATGTGCAAAGATCATTCGTATGGCCGAGATTGTTCCTGCTTCTGCGTATATGCGGTTGCAATAATGCAACAATATGGAAGATTAAAAAACTTTTAATTGAAAAGCATTGTGGAAAATGTGGTACGAGCGTATTTATTTAAACACGAAATGAAGTAGAGGAAATCAGATAAGATAGGAATTCATTTAAGGAATGATAAATCTCTTTAAGAGTCTTTAAGATTGTGTATTAACGCATCTTTTAAAATTAAGAATATACAAATTTTTTTCCCCCATTCAAATTCAGCTTGAATCGTAATTTTCTAAAGATAAAAATTTTCCCTCCGAGTTCCTCAATTCACAAGATACGTGTCGGATGAAGCATTCATCGAATAAAATGTAAATTCTAAACGATAGCAAATAAATTGTATTTCACGAAATAATAACATTATTTATTAAGAAGAGAATTATTGGAACGTAATTATTACTATCTGTTATTTTGATTCAACGATGAACTCTTTCGAAATTTACTTGTTTCACCGATAAAGTGCAAGTTCAATTATATATGTTATAGAATCATATAATTTACAATTTCAACTCATTAAAATTTCTTATCATTTATAAAACAATCGAACACGAAATTAACATATGATAAACACTATTATTAATTCTTCACTTAACACCTTCAATTCGTATATCATGAACAATTGAAAAAAGAAAAATAGGAAACAAAATAGGAAATTCTCAGACAAAGATATTTCTTCTAATCCAAGGAAGCAAAGATTGGCAACACATGCATTCGAAACGAAGCATCTATTCAACCACAAAATCGGAACGTTCTCACACTTTTACGTTCCGTTTTGCAACACTTCGCATGCACTTCGTTAAATTCGCCCCGTATGAATACCGAATTATCGAATAACATCCCTCCTCTGGAATTCTTTCTAAACCGTTGGCCGAACCATTGGAAACTCTGGGCCATGCATGCGAATGCATCCGGAACAAGCTGCGGGAACCTCTTAAACGGGGTGCTCCAGGTAAATTCGAAGTAAGAACGTGCTTCTTTCGTGCACGTTCCACGAGATGATAGCGAGATGTTGAGCACACACACACACACACGCACGCACGCACGCACGTACGCACACACGTACCTTGAGTGACCGCGATCCCTTCGATAACCAGGAGAAAAGCAGCGAGTATCAGGAGGGCGAGCCAACGACACAGCATTTTTAACACTTCGGTTCACTTCGTTCCCACCGTCGTTTAATTTCGTTCTTTTCTTTTTTTATCGCTCGAATGTAGAAGCAAGCGCCAAGGATGAGCGGAGTTAAAATAGGTTCCAAACTCTACCCCTTATCCACCCCCTTTTCTCGGCCACTTTTCCTTCACACGACATCCATATACGTACATATATATATATCTACACACTCTATCAGACCGTGTTATGCAACTCGTACACGAACTCGAACTTCACTGTACCATCATATTACTTACGAAGTCACTGTTACCCGGAGGACACAACTATACCTATACAACGAACGAACGAAGCTTTTCACCACCTCGGAACCGTGGCATTCCACTCGCGACTCGTCGTCCACTCGCCTCGAAATTACCCGATGTCCGATTATATCACGCTCATTACATAAATCGTCTCGCGGGGATTGATTCGCGGAGGAGAAGTCGAGCCGAAGATCGAGATGAAATGAAGACGGGCGATTCTCTTTGCTCGCACACTCGCCGAACGAACGAACGAACGAATTGCACCGCGACGAGCGAACTCCTCCTCCTCCTCAGAGGCACGGCAGTAGTTCACTGCCGCAACCGCGCTCAAACCCACGTTTGATCACACGTGGATCGCACTCGCTGCTGTTAACACGCATCCTCGACGCGCGATCGCCACTCGTCTGTCGCATCTTTTCCTTCCTCCCCCCCCTCGACGTATCCTCGAGATAATCCCCCTCGAGGGATACGCGTACCCCCCTTCCCCCCTTTCTCAGCCTCTCGACCGGGGAGAAAAAAATCACTGGGGGGGTGAGGGATCACCGGAGATCACTCGTTCGATGGGGGCGGTGGTAGTGGTAGATCCTTGGCGGTGGGACAACACGCGCGGGAACACACGCTCGTTCGTCGACCTGCTCGACGGCGTGCACGCGACGACGTCGAACGCACATGGACCAGCCGCGTTTTCACCACGGTTGCGGTGCCGCTTGGCCGTCGCGGCGCGAAATGAATCTGCGGCCTGGCGTCTCCCCCTCGTCCGCGCATGCGCCCTCGTGCTACGTGTTACGAGGCGCGGACGGGTTACGCGCAGACCACTTCTACTTGACGCGCTCGAGAACCGACTGGCTCTCCTCGGGGTTGGTGGCACGGGTCGGGTGTGTGCGGGAATCGTCTCTCTCTTTCTCTCTCTGTTCCTCGTTGTCAGCTGCCACGCAGCAGCCCTCTCACGACGCGATACGATCTTTGAGGGCGTCGTGACAGGGGATACCCCGCGCAGAAATCCGGGGAATTTCTCGTCGGGCTGGAACGAGGCAGCGGTGTTAAACGTTTGAAAGGGGGGAGGAGGGTGACCATTTGCACACCTTGGGATGGAAACCTTGAGATTTTCGTGGTCGATTTTCTTCTCCTCCCGGGAGGGGAGGAATTTGAAGAATGAGCGGATCGAATGATGGGATGCGTGTTAAATTGTCCAGATTGTAGCGAGTATTCTTTTTGATACATCGTTGTAGGTTTTGTAATTTATTAACAGACGATTATTGCCTCGGGATGTGAAAGATATTGATGAAATTGAGATTTAAAGAATCCTTTTTTTTGTGCAACGTGTGTAGAATCACATTCTCAAAATCGAAGTTCTATAAATAATATCCATCTGACGTACAAGAACAGATGATATTCGAATTTCTTTTATTATTTTTTCCTAGAGTGCGACGAAAAGAACAGAAGGATTCTATCCAGATAAAAAAAGAGATTGAAAAGGTGCATTGATTGTCGAGCCTAGATCCTTCGACGAGAAACGTGTATATATATATATATATAACGCTATCAACCGCGATTAATGGAGGCGGCAAGCAATGTAATTTACGATTGCCAGGGGTGTTAAGGAAAATACGGAAGCCATCTATTTCGGGGAAGAAGTTATGAAATCCGCAAAAATTTCGCACGGATCCAACATAAATTATTTGTGAACGTCTAGACACGAGCGTACAGACTGTATAAAGGTTTCGTTATCGTGGCCCCCGCGTTGAATCCCGCCGGTTATCCGTGGCCACGTTGCATTTAAGAACGGCACGAGACGCGCACTAATCTTCGCGTTTCTTCCCTCCTTCGAGCATAGGATTTCGCTCGAGAAAGAAAACTACCTCGCGTATTATCGTCCAGTATGCAACCCAGGTATCTCCCCCTTGACTTATGAGGGAAAGCTTACCACCTTTGCAGAATCCAGAGAGGGGGGAGGAGGAAGTCATTAAAATATTCGAGTCGCTGAGAAATTTTGCGCTTCAAGGATTTCTATGCGAATTTATATTTTTCTGTTTATGATGTGAATTTTAATTATTCGATCATTTAAATAATTTCTGATTTCTTTTTTTTTTTTTTTTGGCAAGCAATTCACGTCGTGATCGAGTATTAAGATATATTTTTACATTTTTCTTACGCTTTATTTATACGGTATGATAATAATACTGTTTAATTTTACGATAACAATATATATGTTCGAAGAATAATTTTAACTAATAGTGATGTTACTTTTTTAGGTTTATTAATAAATTTCGAGTCTTTATGAGGTTATTGATATTAATGGTAGAATTAGTTTGATTCCGTACAAGGAATGGGAAATTCACGATTTTAATTAGCAAGTTCGAAGGCTCGCAGTTGTTTCTTGCTTCTCGATAACGATTACCACGTATCACAAGCCTGCGAGAATACCTAAAGTTGGAACGTAGTAGAAGTTAGGACCGTAGTAGGACTGGTTTCCCAAATTAAGGGCATGTGCAACGCCCCTACATTGCATGCTTACATGTCCTTTGTGGCAAGCTTGCGTAGGATGTGTACGAGATTAAGGAACCGAGACATTGCACTCTCCCATTTCTGCTTCGAATTTAACAAGAATAATTATTGTAATTATATATCTTATATCTTAATTATGTGTCTATAAGATAAATAATATATTCAATACAATTCGAAAATTAACAAATACGAGGGAAAAAGTAACGAAGAATTCAATTCTTCCTGAATTCCTAATGATTTAAATTGATTGCTCGTTTCTTCCGTATAGCATTTATAATTTGTAAAAATTACAGATAATTTTCTATTTTTACTAATTGTAAGATAGCAGCTGAAAAAATTAATTATTCTACAATTATTCAGTGATAAAACTTTTGTAAGAAAGAATTCTTTCTATCGAAAGACAGACGATTATTAAAAAATTATATTCATTATATTACTTGCTATATTTTCCAAATTAAATCTTCTAATACAATATTATTCGTTGAAGTTACAGATCCTTCTTTCAAACTCGAAGTAATAAATAAAAGTTACGTTAACCTGTTGATATTTCTCCTACACCAACATCATGGAAAAATAGTTAAGACCACGTAGAGGAATCCAAGGATGGATAAAATTGTTCTCAATAATATAAACTTCTCGCAAATTTTCACCAAGAGATTAACTTTTCTTTACTTTTTTTTCCAAAATTCCTCTCACAGCCCATATCGTAATTTGGAAATCTCGAATAAAATCATTCACGAATTTTTTCGACAATGAACGTTATATTGTTTGACAAAATTCCAAATAATACGTGAACCAATTCGGTCAGCAACGTTCTCAAAGTGTAAATTGGCCGCATCTGAGACCAACCGTTTCAATAACGCCCACGCGGTACACTTTGGAGAGCATTAACACCATTCGGGTATAGAAAGCGAACGAGGTTTTGGTGCATAGTTGGCACCGGATTTTATGATAATAAATTTTCGGATGAACCTGCCGATTAGCTTCCTTCTCATCGATTTTAAACGTTGAAATATGTAAGGAACATTATCTCCAGCAATTTTCATATAACGGATACAATTAAAAACTTTAGCCGAAACAGGTAGGTGTTGAATTCTATATATATATATATATATTAGATAAAAATAAATAATTAGATATTTTAGAAAAGAATTTTTTTTGAAGGTGTAATCATCTGAAGTATAAAAGGCAAGTATATTAATGTATTAAAAAAAAATTCGCGTGTCATTTCCTCCTTCGTGAATTATATTCTCCTAGTATAAGATTATAAAATTGGCCAAAAATTTGATATATGAGTGGAAATATTTTGTTTTAAAATTCCAGGAAAAAATTTGTGCCACTTTCTAATAAGATTATATTCTCCTGATACTACGAACGAAATTTCTCACATCTCGAAATTTTCAATTTTATATTAAAAGAATATGATCTGACAGGAGGTAGCACGTTTTTTCCAATTTTTCCAAATACAAATTTTTACCAGATTTTTGATTTTGTATTGGAAGAATATAATTTGATAGAAAATCGCTTGAGAAATTTTTTTTCTCAAGAATTTTGACAGTTCTTAGAAATGACGATAAATTCTTGGAATCTTTAAAATGCATGGAACTGGCATAAAAATCTTTAGAATTTTCGAAATCTTTAGAATACAATTAAAACACGGAACTTTTAAACAATTTTTTGATTTTTTACTATATTTAAGAATACAATTAATGGGAAAATATAAAATTTTTAAAATATATTAAATAAAATAAATTTCGATAAAATTTCGATACATGATTAAGAAAATATAGATATAAAAATATACATATAAAAATTCTATAAATGTTTTCACCAAATGTTTTTACTTACAGTTTCTCAAACAGTAATTCTACACAATATCATTTACTAAAATAGGTAAGTACATAGCAAATAAATATCAAACTTTATAATTAGAATTAAGTAAAATGTTGAAAAAAATGTACCTTCCTACAAAAATTGCCAAAGTA